CGTGAAAAAGTTCATCAACTCTGCATCAGCTGAGGTATTCCTTAAATTTGAAGCAAGTAAGCGGTAGTCTAACTCTATTGGTTAGTTCTGGTTGGCGCTCAGTTTCCTATAGAGCTCCGGGAGTTGACGTCACTTCTCCCGGCATGCAACAGTTCAAATTGAAACTGCGCCATTTTGGCAGGCAGAAGCCGGCAGCTGGACTATTTGTTATTGTCAGAAAACTCAATCAAACAGGAAATATGGTAGATTCCTGTTGTGCCCCAGGATGCAGAACAGTCACGGACGACATGAGGGATGAGCCATCTACAGGATTCCCCAAGATCCGGAGCGCCGCAAACGTTGGATCATTGTAATAAAAAGCACTAGTGACCGGGCTAAAATGAAGCTGTGGGATCCCGAGAGTAAAGGTTTTCACTTATGCAGCGACCACTTCATATCAGGTACTTAAACCAACGTTTCCTCAGCTGTATATGGTATTTATTTTAAATGCTTTTATTACGATTCTTAGTGGGCTTCCTAAAATTATTTTGATGTGTTTTTTTCTGTCTTATTACTCACAGCAACAAGTAAACATCACGTAAAACGGTGCCTCGTGATTTCTGCGTGCTGCCGTTTACGTGTTTTATGATCACAGCAATTAACCGTCTAAGCTGTATTTAATTTTTAAGCAATGGTTGATCAATTTTCAGATCACGCATAAAAAGCACTTTGGATTGCTATTTTCTGTCTCACCGAGACAGATCTCAGACAGATCCTGAGACGCTCCTGCCTGACATATTTATTTTATTCACGGAAAAAAAATCTAACAAGTGATTTCTTTTGGCGTTCAGTTTATACATTCAAACAGCACAGCACTCTACTTAAACTACTTATGTGTAAATCTGTTATTTGTCCACCCATCCATTTTCATCTGCTTATCCGGAGTCGGGTTGCGGGGGCAGTAGCATCGAGAGACCCAGACTTCCCTCTCCCCAGCCACTTGGGCCAGCTCCTCCGGGGGAATCCCAAGGCGTTCCCCGGCCAGGTCCGATAAGAAGTCCGCTCCGACAGCTTCTGGCGTTTTTAAAAAGTATCCCAGGGGCACGGTAAGGGTTGGAGATGTTTAGTCTATTTAATTTCTGACTATATAAAACGATTTCTTCGGTTTTAAAGTGTGAAGTAAACTCCGATGAAGTAAAATCTAAGCCGATCCCATTCATTTTGTTTACATTTGTTGCCTGCCAACATGGCGTCTACTCTCTGAGTCACGTGACGTCCGGAGCTCTGTTGAATGGAGCCCTACAGGGCAGGGGGCGTGCTTAGCAAAAAACAAAAAAAGACGTATCGCTTACATTATATCACAGTACATGATAAGACAATCGCTTTTATGGATTTCTGACAAATCATACATAATTTCTGAAAGGGGAAAACTCCAGAAAGCTGCTAAATAACCACAATATACACAACATCAATAATAATAATAAGAAGAATAAGAATAAAGACTGGTTTGCTAATTAGGCAGTTCCAGGTGGTAACTAATTTTAGACTAATATTTTCTAGTCCTATTTTTGGTGGTTGATGTTGCTAAAAGCAGTCAGTTTGTTGCATTCTGTTTACTTATAGCCATTTAGCTAAGTGTTGTTAACAGCTGCTTTTACTTGCTGCAGTGCCTCTAATAATAGTTTTATTCCTAGTCTTTCCTAAAATATGATGTCAAAGGTTAAAGAAAAACACTTTTCAGTCAGGAAGAAGAAGAAAGGAGACAGTCGTGTTATGAGACTTTGTAGGACAGCTTCCCTGTCAGTCGTCCTGCAGAAGAGTCCAAAGGGAGCAGCGGATGAGTTATTACTGGAAACCTCTCAGGGACAAACACACTGCAGACACAGGTGGTGTTGCTCCAGTGTGTGTGTGTGTGTGTGTGTGTGTGTGTGTGTGTGTGTGTGTGTGTGTGTGTGTGTGTGTGTGTGTGTGTGTGTGTGTGTGTTACGCTGTCCTGTTAAATGTTAATGACCAGCTGACCTGTGATCACTGCTGCTACAAACAAGCTGCTGTAATGATACAAAGTCAACTGCAGTTTGTGTGTGTGTGTGTGTGTGTGTGTGTGTGTGTGTGTGTGTGTGTGCGTGTGTGTGCGTGTGTGTGTGTGTGTGTGTGTGTGTGTGTGTGTGTGTGTGTGTGTGTGTGTGTGTGTGTGTGTGTGTGTGTGTGTGTGTGTGTGTGTGTGTGTGTGTGTGTGTGTGTGTGTGTGTGTGTGTGTGTGTTTCTGAACTCAGATATGAGAGAACAGACAGAGACACTTTAAAAACTAGCTCCATCCCTGTCAGCCCTCTCACTGTGACCGGGCTGCTGGTGCTCCGGGTGTAGCTGCCTTCCTCAAAACACCACTTGTTTGGTTCTTTCTCACTACAGTGTCACTCAGAGCACAACTACAGCTTGTTGTGACCTCCATGAATAGAGGTTTATGTAACTGACACTGATCTTGAACATATTAGTCTCCTCCCTTTCCACTTGTGTGGACTGGAATTTGTCTTCTTTAAGCAATCTAAGCTAATTTTAGACAGCTGTTACAGTCCGCTGCTGTAAGGAAGTGAGACAATTATTAGACGCGTGAACTGTTTAATCATATTAAGTAGATGCTAATAGTCACAGCTGACAATATGGGAGAAGGAAACGTATAACTCAGTGTCAGAATAAGTACAGATAGATCCAATTGTAATGTATTTTACCTTTATATGATGGTTGTGGTTGATCCCTTAGATATTTAGATTTCTATTTTTGTATATTTGTTATTTTTGAGGACATGGAGACTCCATCTAATTTTGTTGAAAGAAAGGCAGCAGCTGAATTTGAACCTGCAACCTTTTTGTGGCCCTGATCTGGAACAACACTTGGGTAATGATAAATAAGTGAGTGAAATTTTCAGTCTCAAACAAATCTGACAGCTTCAGGCTTACACGAAAAAAAAAACATGATCCAAATATTTTATTGAAGGAAGAACTAACAAGAAGAAGATCCTTGTGTCATTTTTCCCAAAATATCATTTTTTAACAGATTGAAAACAAGCAATTACTTATTATAACACCAAAGGTGACAGATCATTTGCTGCTGTGGCCCCCAGACTCTGGAAATCTCTGCCCCTGAGCCTGAGATCAGTGGACTCAGTGGTCTCCTTTAAAAAGCAGCTGAAGACTCACCTGTTCAAGCTGGTTTTGGTCTATGCTTTCGTTCTTTTTTAAACACAGAAACAGTTTTGTTTACCTGTTTGTAGCTACAGTTTCGCCGACGGCTGCCGGCTTCTTCAGGCTGACGCTGATGGTGGCGCGTCACTTCCTTCTCCGTTTATCTGCGGGCAGCAGAGGACGTTGTCGCCCTCTACTGCCCGCTCTCCCCTCTCCGACGATGCAGTCCCATGCGTGGTCCAGCGTGTAAACTCCGTCGTCCCTGTTCATGGTCCCACATCCACGTCTCCTTATCTCGATTGCTTCCTTGATCCATCATTTGTATTTTTGTTGTTCGGTGGTTATGATCCGTGTGTTGTCCCAGTCCATTATATGGTTTTCTCTTAAGCAATGATCTGTTATGGCTGACTTTTTTATTGTACTTTCTGCTTCTTCTTTTGCTGCTCTTGTGTGTTTACGATTTGCCTCTTTCTCGCACTCCTTTCTGTGTTCTATTGTCCGTGTATTGAGTTGGCGTCCGGTTTCTCCTATGTATGTTTTATTGCATATTTTGCATGGGATTTCGTAGATGACTCCACATTTTTGTCCAGCTGATATTTTGTCTTTTGGGTGTACTAGTCTGTTTCTAACTGTTGTGTATGGCTTTGTTGGTGTGTTTATGTTGTGTTTTTTCATTGTTGCTCTTATTTTTTCCGTTATGCCTCTGATGTATGGTAGGGTTATCACTGGTTTTGGTTCTTGTCTTTCTGGGTTTCTGGTTCTTTTCTTGGGTTGTTCTTTGCTTTCTGTTTTTGTTTGTTGTTTTCCTTTGTTTATCGCCCATGTCGGGTATCTGCAGGTCTTTAAAGCGTGTTGTATGTGTTTGTCCTCTTGTTTACGGTCTCTCTCTTCTGTTATTATGTTTGCTCGGTGATATAATGTTCTGATTACTGACATTTTGTGTATGGTGGGGTGTTCAGATGTCCATAATAAATATTGGTCTGTGTGTGTTGGTTTCCTGTATGTGTTTATGTTTAGGGTCCCGTCGGTCTGCCTGGTGATTTTCATATCCATAAATGCTATGCTGCCTTCTGTTTCTAACTCATAAGTGAATTTTATGTTGCCCGTGTCGTCAATGTTGTTTAAGTGTTGTGTTAGTGTTTCTGTTTGACCTTTTGGTATGATTTCTAGTATGTCATCCACGTAGCGTTTCCATAGTTTTATTTTGCAGTTTGGGGGGGGCGGTGGCTATGGCTTTTTGTTCCAGGTCTTCCATGAAAAACTCGCACAGGGTGGCTGATAACGGGTTACCCATGGCGAAGCCTTCCAGTTGTTTGTATATTGTGTTATCGTATGTGAAGTAAGTGGAGTTAGCTACCAGTCCTATCAGTTGTGCTATGTCGTCTGCAGTGAGGTTTGTCCTTTTGTGTAAAGTTTTGTCTTGTCTGATTCTGTTAACTACTATGTCTACGCTGGACCACGCATGGGACTGCATCGTCGGAGAGGGGAGAGCGGGCAGTAGAGGGCGACAACGTCCTCTGCTGCCTGCAGATAAACGGAGAAGGAAGTGACGCGCCACCATCAGCGTCAGCCTGAAGAAGCCGGCAGCCGTCGGCGAAACTGTAGCTACAAACAGGTAAACAAAACTGTTTCTGTGTTTAAAAAAGAACGAAAGCATGGATTTAGAAAGACACAGCAAGAACGCACCTAAGATGGTATTGGTCTAACCTTCATCACCCTCTCCTTGTTCTGCTCTCCCCACCAATTCCGCCTTCCCCGGGATCCACTGATCTCTCTCTCTCTCTCTCTCTCTCTCTCTCTCTCTCTCTCTCTCTCTCTCTCTCTCTCTCTCTCTCTCTCTCTCTCTCTCTCTCTCTCTCTCTCTCTCTCTCTCTCTCTCTCTCTCTCTCTCTCTCTCTCTCTCTCTCTCTCTCTCTCTCTCTCTCTCTCTCTCTTTCATTTTTCAATCACAATTGTCTATTTTTTGCTCATTTTAAACATATTTTAATCATTTTTAAAAATCTTTTTTATATTTTACATTTTTTGCTTTTGGAAAAGGCCTCATAATTTTTATCTTGAGAGGAAATGATCATTTTCTTTCTTTCTTTCTTTCTTTTTATTACACATATTTCCTTTTGAGACGTGGCTCCCAGCCACCCAGCCTCCTTCATACAGACAGAAGACGGAGCTACTTCCAGCAAGACTGATCTTCTCTGCTGTGAGGCTTGTAAACTCTGGAAATTGCTACTGCCATGATGTTGGGTTGTTATTCTCAGTTTTACATTGTTATTTTAGACACTTATTTGTATATTTTTGCAATATTTGCAATTCAAAATTCTTTGTGAACCCTTCTTATAAACCTGTACTAATACCTTCCGGATGAAGTCCCCTGTCTCAGTGCATTTTCCCTTCACTTGAACGGTCTCCCATCTACATGAATGCAGCCTTACAGCCTGGTCTCCACTTTCTTTTCCTCTGAGAAGGACTTTCCACAGACAGTGATGGCTTTAAACTCCTCTGAGATCTCCAGCAGGGTCTTCCCTTTAGTCTCAGGCAGGAGGAAGAAGGTGTAAAGGCTACCCAGCAGACACACGCAGCCAAACAGCACAAAGCAGTACGAACCCAGGGAGTTCTGTGGGAGGAAACGTAATAAATCATTATGAGTTAGACTCGTATTGACATTATGATGAAGCACTGATCGTACGTACAATTATAAAGGGAAAAACTAGTCCCAACAGTGCGATCAAGAACCAGCACTGCAGCCCCATGAGCACAAATGCGGCCAGGCGATCAGACTGGACGAAGAGTTCACTTCTGAGTGTAGAAGCAACTGCACCTGCAAAAAACAAGAAAGGGATGAAAAATGACTGTTTCACTGCTTAATGAGCTGAAGTTTCTTTCACATGTGCAAACTGTAAAGCTCATACCAGGTCCTCCACGAAAGGAGACCTGGAAGAGGAAGATCAGAGTAGCAGTGACATATGGAATCCAGGGGCCTAAATCCTGCAGGAATGACAAATTTTAGTTAATACTAGCACCAAAAATCATTTTAACAAATAGAACAAAAACTGATGTACTGATTTGAAGATGAAAACTTGCTGTAATTTCACAAAGAATTGCTTTATGGGTTATTTTCCTTCATGTGTATTTAATTTATTTGAACTGCTAACTGGGTTAGACTGTACGTTCACATTTGTGCAGGTACGCACATGCATGCAGTCTTAAACATATATGGATATAAATGTAAACAATTGTGTAATTTTTGCAGACAGGAACATGAAATGGGGTTTTGGCACAGGACTAAATAAGCTGTTGCTTTCTCCAGCTCCCTTTTCGAATGCCTTTTGTTTTTATTTACAAATCTACTGTAGGAAATTTTGTTTTCACATGTTTTTTTTTCATGTATTTGATGTGTTGTAATTTTAAGCATTCAAAATGAAATAAATAAATAAAATGTATTTATTTCATGTCATGCTCAGTTTAAAACTAATGTGCTGCTCCTTGTGAATTTCCTGAGATTACAGCATGAGTACAATTGCTGCACAATTCCTCAAAATATCAATCTCATCAGAAATGTTATCATTTGGTTCCATAAACAGATACATTCTGCCCCTCCGTTTTTATTTTTTTTTTACTTTCAGATTGAGTGTGATGGTGACCAGGATCCAGCAGGCAGCCGTGACAGCGTAGCCTCTCCAGAGCAACGGTCTCCTCCCTGTGAGCTCAATCAGAAAACCCTGAATAAAAACACAATCCAGATGGTATTAGCTGTAATTAATGATGACATCTGCATTTAGCTGTAAAAGCTGAGCTTTTTCACATTCTGTTCATAAAAACCTCTCAATATAAAAGAAGTAAAATGGCACCATGCAGTTGAACATCACTCTTGAATCTATTGAGGTAAAGGTCACAGGATTTGCTCACACAGAAGATGGAGGTGAGGATTTCTGACACACCAAGACCCAGAGTGGCATAGCGGATGTCGTCTTTTGGAATGCCCACCTCCAGGAAGACGTCAAAAGCGAAGGTGCTAATCTGAGGAGAAGGAACAAATGTAAAGTGGCTTCAGAAATGTTTTATACACGATTTCATCCTTTGGGTAGCAATGCCACACATTTATAAAAGGAAACATCACTGGTTGAACTATGACACACCTGGGACATAATTAAAACAAGCTCCACACATATCCATTCATGGCTATCATTTTTAATATCAATTGTTGTGAAATAATTATTATTAAAATTATTATTACTAAACAATAATTATAAGATTTCTTCTAGACAAGAGTCGTTACTTTAATATTTTTATATTTAGTGGTTTTACTTATCGTGCTTGTATTATTACTTTATCTTTAAAATGTTTACATGTTTTACTTCTTGTTTTGTTTAACCGCTTTAGGGTAGAACGCTGTTATCGGACCTCAGAAACTCATTTTGTTCCTGGATATTTAAAAAAAAAAAGTCTAGAATGACATCTGGTCCAAGCCACTCTGGAGGAGGCTCTATGAGCGGTGAGGGTCGATTGTTTTAATCTTGGCAGAGGAGTTAAGTGCCCACCCCATAACCAGAGGGTTGCAGGTTCAAGCCCCGCTCATTCTGTCACAGTCATGTCTTTGCACAAGACACGTAACCCACCTTGCCTGCTGCTGATGTACCGTAGCCTTGCCTCAGTCAGTGAACTCCCGAGCAGCTGTTGCTACAGTGTAGCTCATCAGTATCAGTGTGTGGATGTGTGAATGACTGATTGTGTTGTAAAACATTTTCTAGACATCTGGCGTTCTTCCTCACCGCCAGCGTGCCAGACAGCTGGTTGCAGTAGCCGATGATGGACATGGTGATGAGCTGCCATCGGGCAGCCCTGTCCTTCAGCAGCTGCAGCAAGCTTTTTAGGTGAGCTGCTTCCAGGGCCAGCTTCTCGGTCAACATTTCCTCCATTTCTTGCTTGTACTCGCCTTTTCCCCACAGACGCTGGAGAGCTGAAAGGAGGGGAACAAATAAACTGTAACCAAAAAGGGAATCCACAAAAATGGAAATTGAAAATAAATCAAACAAGTCGAAGGTGCATTAGTGAATTGGATAAATGCTGACCTTTTTTGCAGGCCTCGTCATCTCGTTTCTCTATGAATAAATATCTGGGAGCCTCGGGAAGAAAAGGCAGCACTGCAACCTGAGCCAATGAGAAACACGCAGGGACAGAGAGGAGGACATTCCACATGTCCTCTCGACCAAGTATCTCACTGAGAAGCACAATTATGAAGTCCGATTTAGTTTCATTCTTTGACTTTTGTCACACTTTTCTTTAACAGTTGCTTTGAACAGACTAATACTTACCTTAATCCAAAAATCTGTCCAGATAGTTTCCCAAGAGAAAGAAAAATGACGTACGTGAGAGTTACAGGACCTCTGATCCTCCTGGGTGAAATCTCCCCAAGATAGATTAAATGGATGCTTCCTCCTAAACCTGCAGCACATGCATCACCAACGATCACACCACTAACATCGACCAACACTTACATCAACCAATTCCTGTTTATATACTGGAGTGCAGGAGATGGAAGCTTTACCTGATGAGTATCCATACAGGATTCTTGCAACAATGATCATTTCAAACGTGTTGGCGTATTTGCTTGTGAGCATGGTCACCATGCCGACGATGGAAATGAGGCTGCTGCAGATTATTGCCTTTTTTCTGTTAAAGATGGTCACAACACCTCAGACATTTTAAGCTACAGGACAGAGAACCACCTGGCCTGACTGTAAATTAGAGGCTCCATTGGGGCGTGCATGATTTAATACCAAATAAGCCTATTACTGCCTCCTTGTTACTGCTGGTCAACATCACCTGGGGCCTCATTTGTAAACACATAAACACAACATGTATGCTTAAACTGAAAAAATATTGCATTAGCATAAACAGATGCATGAAATGATGTATAGCCGGTAATCTAGGTACAATGGTTAGAGCAAACTTAAATGCATTAGTATAAATATGACACCTCCCCTTGAACCTAAAAGGGAAACTTGGCAATTTTGCTTGCTTTTAGCACCCCCTAGTGTCCGTTTGTAGAACAGAAAGCAAAACATATCTCCTCGCTGTGCGTTTGTCTTTTTAACACATTTATCTACGAGCTGAAATGTCTCCCAGCCTTTATTGGTGTCTACAGGAGTGATTCATCACAAATCAGCTGTGTTAATGGTGAAAAGCATGCAGGAAATGTGCTGGAACCAGACTGCAGCACCAGGTATGTCAGCCCCACTGTTTCTAAGTCCCAACAGTGAGGCAGTCAATCTGAAGTAGGACAATTCTGGCCATGGGGAGCAGTAGGGGTTGGGTGGCTGTTCATTAACCCTTAGGGTCATTTTAGCACATACTGGCTCAAGAAAGGCATTTTAAAATATGAAAAAGTTGCAAAGTATCCCTTCAAGAATGGGATGCAAACATTCAAGATTCAAGATCATTTTATTGTCATTGCACAGGTGTACAATGAAACTGACTTTGTTACGGCCACCTGCCTGGCCTCCAGCAGCTCCAGGAGCTGGGACCATCCAACCCGATTACTTGGCCGACATCGCTCCTCCTCCTCCTCACCTCACATTTTAATTCCATTGTTCCAAGTTTTTACGTTACCCCCTCCTTCTCATTTTAACATCTCCTGTCGGGGTCGTAACACTTGATGAAATATGCCCAGCACGTGTGATTCACTAAACATAAATTATGTTTACACACACAAACGAAGAGAAACTTGGTAAAATGTTAAAACGAAGAAAGTCTTAGACTAGGTAGGGGTACATAAAAACGTGTTTATAATAGCCAGGTGCTTCTTTGAAAGACCTGTAGACCGAGACCTTCGTCAGCCTGGGAAAAGGCTGTCAACTCTAGTTTAACCAGAAAATAAGGAAGTCCACCAGGCCGCCTCATCAAAATGATGTGAAAGTGCTTTTTCAGCCATGAAAGTTTCTATTGGTTGAAAAACTCTGTTTGATTAAATTTTAAGGGATGTTGACTGACCTGTGCGGACTTTCCCAGCCTTTTCATTTAGTCATCACTAATGCAGCTTGAAAAATGCTGTATGCTGAGTTTCTGCATGTGCACTCCCTTACTTGAGCCGTTGTTTACAGAGGAACTTGGACACTCACCTTCCAAGCCTGCGTGAGATAAAATTGACGCTGGCAGCACCAAAGAGTCCCCCGACAGCATACATCGAGACGACGAGAGACCAAATCATTGTGACCGTCTGCGGATGAGGAGGCTCGCTGTATCGGTCGTACCAGCTGCTGTTGATGAAGCGCTGAATGAACTGCAGGCATAAGGTAATACAAATATATATATTTATAATATTTCAATTCTATTCCGTTTATAAAGCAACAACAAAAGTCATCTCAGAGCACAATACAAAAAGTTTGAGTTGTATCGGGTCCAGATTTAAGTCCAGTTCACAGCAAACTCCATTTAATTGTAATAAAATTATATTTGGTAAATTATACATTTCAAATTAGTAAAATTTGCTTTTTAGGAAAGAACCAGTTGTATTGCATCATCACCACTGTGAAATGGAAAACTCCCTTTGAACAGGACCAAATGTCCAAAAGGGTTATGGGACACACCCTAATTCATGCAGTCGTCACTGCTGATGGTTATAGGGATGTGTGGCTCAATTTGGACTCAACCAGATTGTCCTAAAAAGAAACCTGGTTGTTCTTTTTCTCCTCAATCAAAAGACGAGTAAGACTCTCTTCAAACTATGTGGGAAGTTTCCCTGTGTTAGCAAACTATCTCTCCAGGTTAAATGCATTTCTTCCAGCTGGGTGGAATACCATTTGCAATCATAAGCTCTGAATTAAGGTGCCATCAATCTCTGGCTGGTCCTTTTAAGGAGCAACATCATCTAGCGATGGACACACTGAAGCTGGCAAGAACATTTGAAAAAGTCACTAAAACAAAATCAGAAGGAGCTGAGAAAACCATTTATCCCACAGGTGAAGGAGAACTTGGGCTGGTCAGGTGGTAACCGTTCTGAAAGCTTCCGCCGAGGCCCAAAGTGATGATAAGGAACAGGCTGGTGCCTTTAGTCTGAGGTGTAAACAAGACAACAAGATATATGAAACATTTTATCATTAATAAAGGGACCAAAGTGTTACCCATCACTTTTACCCTCAAGTTTTTTTGTTTAAACCAGAATAAAACCCATGCTGCTTCATCTGATTCATGAAGTTGAGAGAGAGAGAGAGAGAGAGAGAGAGAGAGAGAGAGAGAGAGAGAGAGAGAGAGAGAGAGAGAGAGAGTTTAAAAAGCAACCTGAAAATTACAACACACAATGACTCAGCAAAAGCGCTAGTTTAAATGACTTGTAACACAAAGGAACAACTGCTCATTCAATCCATAATCAGTAGTCTCATGAGACAGAAACATTATACAACTGTACCCTGTAAATAAAAACTTAGCTACACTGAAAAATGATTATATCCTAGAAAAAGCATGTCTATTTCCAATCGTGACACAAACATGTTTTTATTTTTGTATTTATTTTTTTTTATCCACCCGCCTGAGCTTTATATGGACATAAAAGTCAGACTGTCTGTGATAAAGTCAGCAGAAATAAATAAAATCTTACCAGCTGCTGGACCAAAGTTTCCATCCTTTCTTTACCAGCGAGACCCTTGCAGGAACTGCATGAACACTGTCGGGACGCTGGCTGCTTATCATTAACTTTCTCTGTGAAAACTAACTAACTAACTTACTAACTAACTAACTAACTAAGCGCCTCGTTATTTTTATCTTGAGAGGCGCTATAGAAATGATATTTTCTTCTTTCTTCTTTCTACTCTCATTCTGTCATGCTGTCATAATGGCTGTTTCGTATTAGGTTTTACAAGTGACTTTTCCACTACCAGACTAGCTTTCTAATACGCTGACACTGCTGAGGATTCATTGAACAGAGGCTGTATGCTCTGTGATGTGAGCAGAAGGAAGAAAATAACAGATCCAGGAGGATCAACACTATTGAAAGTCAGTCAGTGGGTTTAATGAGGACAAGATAAACCGTGTGAAGTTGTGCACAGGTTTTTGTGCTATATATTTTTATATGTTAAAAGTAAAGTACACATATGCATAATGGGACAAACATGCAAAAGCCTCTTGATTATATTTACTGGAATGTGGGGTCTGGAGAGCTGGATTAAGGAGTACTTGTTTCTCTTCTTTTGGATTTACAAATGTGTGGACCTGTTAGCATGAACTTTACTTTGTTTTTGACTTAATTTTGTGGCAACATTTTTATGTCAGATGAATATATATTGTTTTAATTTAATGCATTTATGCAGGTAAACAGTGAGTACACCCCTCTAAAACCTGCAGATCATGTAAGACAACAAATGGAGATTTTGAAAAATGTTGCCCAGTGAAAATGCCCCAGGGTCGGCCCTGGTTATAACGATATTATTATTATTTCTTTATTCCTATTATTAGGTGACATTTCACCTACTGACAAGCTGTGTGACCACTGGCAACAATACTTGCCAGTCATAAATATGTCATTTTCTTCCCCCCAAAAAGTACATAATTGAAAAAAAATTATATAACATGATTCAGAGGGACTTAACTGATAAAATGATATGCATTACGACTCTGAAAAAAAATGTGGGCACAAATGGGTTAATGGCCCAGACTGCGAGACCATTTAGAGGCTCAAGAGGAAACGATTGCAGGTTTTCGTAGTTAATTAGCTCATTGGGGTTTCCAGTGTTTAACTTTGTCACAATTTTAATATTTTCTGGGACACAAAACTTAGGGATTTCTTATTTGTGAGCCAGTCAAACTTACAAGAAATAAAGGGTTTTCAATCAATCTGTAATTAATCTATATAATATATGAATTTCAATTTATGCAGAGTGAAAGAAAATAAAGAAGTGTATTTATATAGCATTTTTCACAGACAGAAGTCACAAAGTGCTTCACAGTAAAAACAAAGATGAAATGAACAGAATTACAATAAAACAAAATGGGTGTTAAATAAACTATCAATGGTCGATGGTAGGTGACTATGTAATGTAAGCCAAAAAATAGAGCTTTTTTTCTACTTTATTCTAATATTGTAAGATGCGCCTGTGTTCAGAACGAAGACGCCGTTCTTTTTTGTGTCCAGCAGGGGGCACTAATTCAAAAAATCTTCCAGTTGTTCTCCGCTCTTTCCTTCCGTCGCTGATTGGCGCTCCGGCGGAAATAACACGCAGTGTTTTTCGTAGTCATCGTTGACTAGCTGGTACAAACGAAGACTAGACTCGGTTTACACGAATAAAGTCCTCTGTTTCTGTTTCTCTATTCATCCAGCATTAAAAATGCCACTGGAAAATCTTGAGGAGGAGGGTTTACCCAAGAACCCGGATCTGAGGATAGCTCAGCTGAAGTTTCTGCTCACAATGGACGGTCACCGACAGGATGCTAAAGTGAAGACTGAGCTCATGGACGCTATCAAAGCTAACAGTTAGTTTAACCTCTTTCTGTTTCGTTTATATATATTGTTCATTACACACAAATGCATTGTATTTAGTTGTGTTTAAGAGTCTGAGTGAGTTGTCGGCCCAGAAACTAAGTCAAAAGCTCATGCTGTGATGAACGGTCCGTTAGCGTGTCAGCTAATACTATTAGCTGCGCTAACTAGCCCCCAAAACAATCTCTTTTTTCTTTTAATGTTCGTTTTTGGATTAATTTCCCCCCTATATATATATATATATATATATATATATATATATATATATATATATATATATATATATATATATATATGTTACAGCTTTTATTGAATAGTTTTCTTAATCCAAAAACTCGAATTAGCAAACTGTCCAGTATAAATCCACTTAAGGGGAAATTGTATTGTCACAGCAGCAGGGGCACAGTAACTGCATACAAGCTGTAGACAATATTTTATTATAAATTAAGATTAGTGAGAACATTGTGTATAAAACAACCAGATAATCACAGTAGTAAAAATGTGAAGTGGAGAGTTATGTGTATGTGAGTGCTGGCCCGGGTTTGTAACAACTGTTTGTCTCCGCCGCAGATATGGCTCCATACTATGAGGGTCTCTGTAAAGAGCTGAAGTGGCAGCTGGACACAGAGCTGCTGAGTAAAATGAAGAAGGCCAACGAAGAGGAGCTGAAGCGTCTTGATGATGTTCTGGAGGATGCAGAGAAGAATCTGGGAGAGAGTGAGATACGAGACGCCATGATGGCCAAAGCTGAGTATCTAATCAGAATTGGAGATAAGGTGAGAGATCACACCAGTGAGTGTCTCTAATTGATTTGAATGAACATGGATTGATTGATTTCCTTTGTCCTGTTTCTTTAGGAGGGCGCTTTAACAGCCTTCAGAAAGACTTACGACAAAACGGTGGCTCTGGGCCACAGATTGGACATTGTCTTCTACCTGCTGAGGATCGGCCTGTTCTACATGGATAGTGACCTCATCACACGCAACTCTGAGAAGGCCAAAAGGTATATTCTTCTCCATCTTTGCTCAGAAAAATCTTCCAGTTTCTCTAACATTTTCAATGCTGAACTTCCTGTTTTGTTTTTTCTCAGCCTGATAGAGGAAGGAGGAGACTGGGACAGAAGGAACCGTCTGAAGGTTTACCAGGGTCTCTACTGTGTGGCCATTAGGGATTTCAAGCAAGCTGCTGAGCTCTTCCTTGACACAGTTTCTACGTTCACCTCCTACGAACTCATGGACTACAAAACCTTTGTTACTTACACCGTCTATGTCTGCATGATTGCTCTGAAAAGGCCTGACCTTCGAGAAAAGGTATGGAAACAGAGGACACGCTGTGACACATTTGTAGAAAAATTTGAGAGTAGCTCTAACAACATTTCCTGCAGGTAATAAAGGGAGCAGAGATTTTGGAGGTGCTGCACAGCCTGCCCGCTGTCCGCCAGTACCTCTTCTCACTCTACGAGTGTCGTTACTCTGTTTTCTTCCAGTCCCTGGGTGAGTTGAGTTTATTTTCTTGATACTTAAATGTCACCACTTTTACATGAGGTGTGTGTTCCATGCTACTGTGTTATCTTGATGTGAATTTTTTAGCCCTGGTGGAGCAGGAGATGAAGAAAGACTGGCTGTTTGCCCCTCACTACCGCTACTATGTGAGAGAGATGAGAATCCAGGCCTACAGCCAGCTTCTGGAGTCGTACCGCTCCCTGACTCTGGGATACATGGCTGAGGCCTTCGGTGTCAGCACAGAGTTCATTGACCAGTGAGTTGTTGTGCATTATATACCATGTAATTGTTTCTGTCCCAGAAAATATTCAGTCCCTTGCTGCAGAAATCTCATTTTTCAGTTGCCACTAGGGCTGCACAACAAATTGGAAAATTTTCAGCAGAAAGCAGTTTTAAACATTTTTTCCCTACAATTACTTGAAATCATGTAAGAAATAAGATTGCACAAATGTATTGTCATCGCGGTATCAGTGGGCGTAATACGTAACGCAAAGAAGAAAAAATCACAACGAAGCATGAAGTTTTTGACAAATCAAATGGAGCCTTTCACCCATTTGGCCAATCAAGTGAGTTCTTCTAGATTAGATGCCCGCCTCCTAGATGGACAGCACTTAGTTAGGATGGTTAGCAAACACCTGAGTTAGCTTTGTTCCGCTTTTCCCAGAATCCACAAATTGCCTTTTCTTGTTTAATTTTTTTCTTTCCTTACATCTTTTGATCACAATTTTTGCTTTTTCCACTTTTATACTTTTTAAAAATTTCTTTGTATTTGATTTTTTTGTTCTGGGAAGTATTTTATTTCTTGCGAGTCATACCATCGCAGAATTAATCATTATTGTGCAGCCCACGTTGCTACATACATTAATTAGTATTGTTGCATCTAAGCAGCAATAAGCTGGTAAACACAGGGAAGAATTCTAAATTCTGTTTCCTACAAAGCCTCACATAAACAATTACATCATGAGCTGGTGGCGTCTTCCTGTTCTCAGTCTCATCTCCTTTTTTAGAGAACTGTCCCGCTTCATAGCGGCCGGGCGGCTGCACTGTAAGATCGATAAAGTTAACGAGATAGTGGAAACCAACAGGTAACGCTTCTATACTTGAGGAGTTTTTATACCTTTATTGCATACTTTATCTTTTTTATTTTTTCTTGCAGACCCGATAGTAAAAACTGGCAGTACCAGGAAACCATCAAGAAGGGCGACTTGCTGCTCAACAGAGTCCAGAAGTTGTCTCGAGTCATTAACATGTAACCGCAGCGGCCATCTTTAAAAGGAAGACTTGTTTTTTTTTCTTCTTGGTATACCCGAACCAGTTCGTCTGACGGTGACTCTTGTGTATATAATAAAACCTGTTTAACTAAAATGGCATCTTCTGGTATTTAAGAGGCAGAGGCAGGATTTCATATAAATAACAGTATAAATTATTTTATTTACACAAACTTGTTACAAAACAAATATACTATACAATCTTTTCTTTAAATATTAATTCTAACCTATTTTTTTGTTCATGAATTACATAGCAGCCAACACGTACGTCCAGCTGATAATGATTCTGATAACGTATAAAAAAAAATCTACACACTTTTACATCATATGAATGAATTTCTTATTTCCTTCCCAGACATATGTTGTGTTCTCCCTCACATTTCAAGTCTACGGTGGAATAAAAACCGTAACAGGAAAAAAAAATCTGAGGAGCCTTGAGTAAACAAAACGTTTCTAAATCAGTAAATTAGAGAGCCTAAACCACACTGAGGCTAACAAAATCTGCATCTCTTAAAGAAAACCTAAAAAGTGTTTTATACTGAATTGACCTATTTAGGTTTTACCACATTTAGGGTTCACAGGCAGCAGAACCAAACGCCTAAATACTTTTGACATTCAAGTAAGGTAAAACGACCCATTAAATACTGTTTTCAAACAGCCAGGGTGGAAAAATAAACTAATTCAGGCACTTTTTAAATCTGATATTTCTTTTAAAAGCTGCTGAACTCATTCTTTAAAAGCTGTGATTCAAATTACTTGTTTGGCAACGATGATGCGAGCCGTTGGGCCATCTGAAGTCATTCTCTTCCCTCGAAAGATCACGAAGTTCCCTTCTGCCTCCAGAAAAAGTGTTTTAATCATGAAATGTGTTTAATGACTAAAAGGTATAAAGACAAGTCAACGGGCACAGCTTTAGGCAAAACGACGTTTCAAAGAAATTGCAGACTCTGTAGGCTAGAGTTGTGCCCCCCTGCCCTCATGGTGTTCATTCATAGGCAACGTAAAATATCTGGTAAAAGCACGTGTGATTCAGACCTTGATCGGTGAATAAAGGTACCCCTCTTGTACAGACACATGCTACAGTGGCAACACCCCTCCTTTCCACCTTAAAGGATCCAAGGACTCAATTCATGACATGCTTCAGCTTCTACATGGAGGTGTATTGCATTGTATAAACTTGGCAGTGAACCACTTCAAATAGTCTGTGTTTGTTTTTTACTAAATAATCTTCAAAATTGTACCAAAAAATTCAGCGTATGAAAAAAATGCCTGTGCAAAAATACATACTTTCTTATGTACAATTCATTAACAAAATATGTTTTCTCAAATAGGGATACTTCAGTACTTTTTGATACTTCAGCTACAAGGAGAAGGGTGACTTAAAGATTCTCTACCTAAAAACAACTGTTTCCTCTACGTTTATCTGACATCAGTAGGGGCTCCATAAAATCAACGGGTGTGGCCAAAAAGTTTCAGCTCCATCCTGCATGAAGACATCACCATGAACCTCGCACCACCCAGAACCAAATCTTCAAAAGCAAACATCAGTCGTGCCCATTTCTAAGACTCCACTCGGACTATACATCCTGGCTACTGTGACAAACCACCTCACACACACATTATGTTATGGCGAGGCGTTAACATCCAACAGCTGCGTAGAGGTTACACACAGGAAGGACAATCCAAACCCAGAGAAGACGAGTGACGTGCAAGTTTGTTCCAGTTAAGACGCACCATACCTGATTCGATTTTGGGGAAAATTAATGCAAAAAAAAACTAAGATTACAATTCACATCCACCCAAATGCAGCTGGGGATTTCACGCAGCTGTTTGGGTGTGAAGTAGTTGTGGCTAAAACGATACAGCTTTTCTTCATGAGTAAGACTCGCACCTTTTACATCAGAACAAAGGGATGTTGGCAGAACTGTGGCAGCTTTTGGCTTTGCTTTGTGGACAGCTAAAGCAGTGCCTGTGGAGAAGGTTTTTAGAGCTGATCACAGTTGGTCTACTCTGGCTATCATTTTTTTGTTTTGTTTTGTTTTTTTGTTTTGTTTTGTTTTGCACAATGAAACAAAATTCAGTAAATCAACCAGACCCAGCCACCTCTGAAAAAAAGATTCAAATGGGCACATCAGGTGTCCTTTTCACATTTTAAATGCACAACCCTCTTCAACAAAACTACAAAGACCCTTTGAGGTACAGTGTAAAAAGCTCATAAGAAATCATAAAAAGACAAAGCTTTGCATAATTATTCTGAAAGAGTTGGCCAGATTATCCCCATGGGCGTGCCGTAGGCTACCGTACGTAACCTGAGGTTACTGGACATGTCATCAGAGTTGGACTAACGAAGACTGAAACAAGGTGTTAACAGTTCTCAGTTTGCTCTCCTTTGCAAGGCTTTTAAGATCAGGTGATGGGGGTTGTCGTTGAGTTGGAAATTCCAGCAGAGTCTGACATGAGAAAAACACTTGTAGACACATTTGCACTCATTTTTGGACAAACACTGAAAAGATCAGATCTCCAGGGATGCTCTGCGTCCCGTTAGGAGACCCGCGGGCGCACAAACGGTGCCTTCTATCTCCAACCAGATAGGAAGAACTCTCAGGAAACTCGGACCAGACTCAGGTGGTGGAAATCATTGGCTTGCTTGTTCTACCCCGACTCCATTCTGTGCCTCAGCCCGCCCCTCACGCACAAACGAGCACACACATAAACACAGACACATGGCTTTGGGAGAAATAGTAAGGACCACATCGACATCACTGGGCAGTCCAGCTCATCTCCACCCTGAGGATTGTGGGAAGCTGAGAGTAATGTGTATTTAATTTCAGAAGGCCTCTTAAAGTCCAAAGCAGCTTGCAGACTGCTCCGGACTTGTCTCTGTCCAACTGCCCATTTCAAACGCAGAAGCAGGAAGCCGCTGTCAGGGACGTGCTTTTGGCTGGAGATAAAACAAAACAAAAAAAATTGTTAAGTATTGTTCAAGCATCTTAACTCAACAAGAATCACAAATTGACACGATGAGCACGGCAGCGGCACGTCTCTGCATCAAACAGATGCTGTTCTACTCTATGGCAGGGGTAGGCGATCCGGGCCCTCCAGGGTCTTATCCAGCATGCTTCTGTTTTGTCCCTGTTCCAACACACCTGATTTTAATCCGTAGCCAACTTATGCAGAGATGATGAATTGTCAAACAGGTGATTCAATCCATTGAATCAGGAGTGTTGGAGCAGGGAAACAACTAAAACATGCTGGGTGCTGGTACCCTGGTCTATGGTTTGGTTCACACTGGCTAAAGATAGGATCAGATCAGGTCTGGGCGATACCTCAATGTCTTTAAAATATGGATGTAATTTCAAACAAGATCACTCAGTAATGTTAATATCAATATAAATATACAACCAGTGTATTTCTAGAGTTAGCAGGTGCAGATACCGTTAGCGGCTAGCTTGCTCTGTCTCTAAGTGGTCATTACAGTTATTCTCAAACATCTGCTCGATCAGGAAACCTCTGGGTCAATGTTCTGCCCTAAACTTTTCATTTGGCTTCATGGCTTTACATCATTTGGAGATGTTTGTACTTCAGCGAGCCATTTCACTGTGACTGCCATCGGACATTTGTTTAACCTGCTTGTGTGGAGACACGGTTGGGTTTTGTGTTTTTCTAAACTAGATGAACCAACCTGATGTAGATGGGAGTTGTTAGGTAGGCCTGGGGTCCCTGGAATGCTTCGCCCATGCTTCCCATGGATGTTATTGATGGTAGGTGACTTGGCCACTTTGGTTCTACCTGTTCCAGCTGCCCCAGCTCCACCACCTCCTCCTCCCCCACCTCCACCTACACTATTGATGCCACTGGAAACCGAAGAGCTTTTGCGCTTCTTGCCCTCCAGGCGTCCGTCTGAAGGGTGGTGGCTAAAGCTGGTATGGTGGTCCAATGGGGACTGGTGATGGACGAAAGGTCCCAGAGAAAGAGTGGAGTCACTACTGTTCATCACCACGCTCATGCGCTTTATGGACTCTGCAGGGCTGCCCGAGGGAGGACCTCGAGCCGGTGGTCCGGAGGAGCCACCTGCTGAACCTCCAGAAGGTTCTGCTTTGAGACTGAGAGAGTTGGTCCGCACATTGGGGCCACAGTTGAGGCCCACACTGTGAACTCCACTGTGAGAGAAGGATGATGAAGAAGAAGATGGTAGTCCTAATGGGCTGTGGTGGTAGGTGCTCCCTGAGCTGCCAACATTTGCACAGTATTTCTTAAATGAGGAGGAATTGACGTTAGAAGAGGAGGATTCAGAGGAGGTGTGAGAGGAAGAAAGGACAGAGCTGCTCTTCCTCTTCTTAGCTGAGCTAAAGCTAGTGCTACTACTGTTACTGTTTGCTCCAGTGTTTCCTCCACCGGTGGAGTTGGGGGTGACGGGGGTGGAGGAGACAGTGGTCATCTCCTTGGGCCTGATCGATGACGAAGACGATGAGGACTTGGTAGTGGTGCTGCTGGAGGAACGGGACTTAAGCGTCCGGCCTGAGGCTAGGGATGGAGCCGAAGATGATGATGAGGACAAGTGGGCTGAAGGCATCTGTGGCGACGAAGACACTTGTCGGGCTTGCGTGGTACCATAGGCCGGGTGCTCAGTCCCGCCCTGTAGGGAGCTGTGAGCATTTAAGGTGGTCCCATAGGGGAGTGTGGACTTGCCCTCATAAGGAGTTTGGGGCAAGGTGGCAGGGGGGCCCAGGAAGCCTGCAGAGGGAGTGCTACCGTGGGAATTTGTGCTTGTCCTATGGGTAGGTGCAACAGAGAAGGAGTTCTCCAAGGCCAAGGGAATTTTCCTACAAACACAATCAGGTTTGATGTTGCTTCAAATACAAATGTCATTCATTTTCTTGCTGCACATCATCAGTGTGAAAAAGAGGAAGGGAGAGACTTACTTCCACATCTGAGAGTTGACGTGCTTTTCCATCATTGTGGTTAGGGCACATCGCACTCTGTCCCACCGCCTGTCAAAGGAGTAAAATCCTCTCCCGAACAATCGACTCCCAAAGGAACAGTACTGGGAGGAGAAGGGAAACTTGGATCAGAAAAACAAAAACATGACTTCATAACTATTGCAGGACATAAACACAGATCCATAACACTTACAGCTGCCGGTTGGGGGTGATAACCTGAAAAGACACAGTCTAGTTTGTCTGCACTATCTTCACGTTCTTCATTCTCTCCCTCATCGCTGGAGGGTCTGGATAAACCATCAGGGGCAGTTTGGGGGTGGTGTGTGGACTCATGCACTACTGCAGTGTCTCCAGAAGAACCACCTGCATGACTGCTGTTGACTCTGAGTTTCACAGAACCACACGCATTATGTTAAATTTAACACAAGTTCAACAAAAGGAAATGAGATAAATGCTGGAACAAAAAGTGGCACAGGACTAACCGAGGAAGACCTGGACTGTGAAATTTGGGCTTTCCAAGTGGCGAAGGCTTTGTGGTATCTGGGGCTGGTCCGATGCCATGAGCCACCTGGTGGGCGTCGTGGCCAGGGGTGAGCTGGGGGGAAGGGTGTGGGTCCCTGAGAGGGGCGTTTTGCTGGGGGTGGGATGGACCAAGTTCTCGCTCCTTCTCCCGCTCTCTTGCTCTGTTTTTGTGTTCTGCCAGCAGTATGTCGAAGCGCTTCTTTCGTCCTGGCACCGCCCTCCGATGGCTTAAGGAATGTGTCTGATGGGGCGTGGAAAAGGGAAAGACTAACTTCAATCACAAAACATTTTCTCTTTTATAAAAACGTCTGTCTTCCTGGTTTTAAAAGTGCAAATCAGCCATCAATCACTTCTGCAAAAATTAAGTCTACTCATTAGCTTCACATTTATTATAAAAACAAACAGCTCTGAGTTTATGCTAGTCTTAACTTCTTTAGAAGTTTAATGTTATACCTATGAGGAACTAGCATAAAATTTATTGTGGAAAATTAACAGTTGGAAACGTTGTTTATGTATAAATATAATATGGATCAACAGAAACAGTGTGGTTACCTTGCATGTTAAAGATCTCGTGCAGGGTTTATGAGCAGCATCCATAACGCCGCAGTGAATGTCTGGATTGAACTCGCGTTCTACAGGGAAAGAAAAGGAGAGGGTAATGAACATTTAGTGGTGGTTACTAAAAGACATCAATACAAAACAAGAATAGTAGGTCAGCTGATCTGATTCTCCCAAAACCTTCTTCGTTTTGTAATGTTGTCACTAATAAAATGGAAAAAGGGTATATCCCAGTCTCAGAAAACCTGCTCTTACCTCAAAAAGAAGAAAATAAAGAGTTTAGATGCTCACTAATTAATATAACCCATTTAAGGACATGGGCCCTTATTTATCAAACATTTATAGAAACTGTCCTATATTCCCTCCTACAAATGAAATTATGAATGTGTGTACAGTCAAAATCCTGATCTATAAAACATGCGGTGGCCTTTCGTACGCACGTTCCTCCACAATCGTCTGACGATAAATGCCACCTGTGCGTACCCAGATGCTCGTGTCCATTCTCAGTCATTAACAGACATAAACATCCTCAATTAACCATTTATGGTCACGCTATGTCCTCAGCATGTGAGGGAATAACCTGGATTTCCTCCAGTGTTTCATTAGGTATTTAGTCATCACTACAGACAATTGAACACACACACAAACGGACAAACAGCCTAACTAAAATATCACCCACCTTTGAACGTTCTGCAGTATAAACTAGATAAAGTGGTAACCATATTTCATCTCTATATCCACGTCCAACTAACCTGACACTTTCTTGTTGAAGTGGCGTCTGCTACTGGTGCTACTGCTGTCCTGCTTCTTGTCCACGATGGGATTCTTGCCATTGAGAATCTGACCTGAGGCCAGTAATGGAGGCTTTGGTATGGAGGGACAGTTAAGGCCTGGTTTAAGGGCTGATGAAGATGAGGATAATGATGGCGATGAGGAGGTCGCAATGGTGGCAGTGCTGAAGCTCACAGTGGTGTTAGAGGAGGATGTGGAAGAGGAGGATGAGGTGTTGACAGGAGCAGATGGAGTCTGCACCAGCTTAGCTGACGAGTCCCCCTTCAGAAGAATCTTCTCCACCTTAACAGCAGGGGTGAGGCTGGAAGAGAAGGTTACAGAGATGAAAAGGGCAGCAAGGAGCAAGCTGAGAGTTAGAAACACTGATCCAGTGAGGAGTGCATGATAAGAGACAGATGTGGGCGCATGAAGAGGGCTGGTCGGACAAAACATAAACCTAATCATTTATGGCTTGGAACAACGAACACATACAGGTATAATATTGTCCTCTTGATCAACAACCACCATCCCGTCAAAAACAGCAGGAAACTGACGTAAGAGATTTTAAATACTTCATCACATCTTCTCATGCAACGTTGTCCATCCCTGTGATTTAAATGTCATAACTAGCTGTAAAGATCTAGATCTTTACTTCTTTAAGACAAAGATCTTCTTAAAGAGCCCATCTTTGTTTCCACCCAGAGTTGCTACGATGCCGGGCTTGTGTTAACTCTCTCTTCTCATACGGACACAAAATGTGCAGAACGAACACTAATTCTGTACCTCGTTGTAAGACATATCACTAAAACCCTTTGGAAACATATTCACGTTGCACTAATGCACTGTTACATTGAAATGTAAACAAAAATGGTCAAAAAGTGCATCTAAATTTCAGTGTCAAGTTTTTGTTATGCGCCATCATGTTTAATAGCACCATGTGATGCCCAGATATCTGAAGGAAACCTACTTTTTGTCTGGCTGGACCATCTTGGATGGGGTGAGCGGTGGTCTTCGATGAATGCCTTGAAGTTTCTCTTTGGCTAATTTAGGGAATTTGGGATTGGAGGAGGATGATGAAGAGGATGATAAACTAGAGCCGGTGGTGGACGGTCGGTTAAGAACACCTCCTCCACTTGTCACTCCGGCCACAGTCCCCGAGCCAAGCCCAGGCCCAAGCCCGCTGCCGGCACTTCGATTTCTGCCCGACACGCTGAAGGGCGACGTGGAGGCTGGCTTGCTGGTTGAACTGTGTCTTCTCTCTGTAGCAAAAGAGAGAGGAAGAAGAAAACATTGTAGCTGATAAATAAGTAGTAATCGAACACTGTTAAAGCATGAAACTACACAAAGACATGCTGCCACAATTCAAGAAGAAAGGAGAAAATAAACTTGACAGTAATAAACAGGATAGTTCCACAACAAAAACTGCAGCATTCATGTTTCCTATTTGTGCATCCTAAAATAGAAGCAGCCAACAGGTCAGAAGCTTTACTTCCAGCCTGAACATCAGAACAGCAAATAAAAAGCTGGATGGAAGAAGAAAAGGTTAGGACGGTCCTTTGTTGTGAAAGTAAAGCCAGAAATAGAGACAGCACGGTTTAATATACCTGCATCTAAACAGAGATGTTCTCAGAATAAGTGGTTTTTCGTGATGAACAAACAGGTGCATGTGTGCATGTGTTTACTAAATCCCACAAGACCATCACAGGTACGTTTAGACTATTAATGAAGTTTATTAATAACTGTTGTATTTAGTAAGGTAATAAAAAGCCTCAATAGATGTCATCAGGTATCAGGTGTCGTCTAAAACAAAAGTAATACATGCATCATTTTTGTTTGTATTGACAAGCACCTTGCACTAATACAAAGCTTTATTTGAAGCTTTATAACAAACACACAAAAGAATTGTGGTCACACAAACATGAGCATCAACATCAGCAGCCAGCTAAAAGGAGCCGATTAGCTTAAAGCTAAAGCAAGCATACTTTAATGGTGTTTTTCAAGAAATCTACTGAAGTTTCTATCATTAAAGTTTGAATGGAACAATTTCATAAAAGCTATATTTAAATAAATACAATAATAATAATAATAATAATACCTACAAGGGGCATTTAGAGGTGTTCAGAATGAAGGTCCAGTATTTCCTTCAAAAGCTGTATTTTAATAAAAAATATAATCAAATATTTATTTTGACGGGAATGACACTGGGTTCATGTTGACATCTACCAGCCAATAGAGGGCACCACTGCAGGTTGGCAAATAGTCTGCTCAGCAGAGCGAGGTTGGAACTGTGGAAAATGGCGGACTCGACAATTCAAGCAGCTGCTTCTGAGCCCAGAACATGTCGTTATCCTTTTCAGAAGGCGAGCTACCATAAAAGATCTAAAACCAGAGTGAGTTTAGCAGAAGCCTACAATAGATGGACCCAAATAAAACATTTCATGCATCGGCAGCGAACCTGGTATCTCGACTGCTGGAAACCTTGTTCTATTGTTGCAACTACAACCTCCACATACTAGGTGTCGCTTTGATGTTCGTGTTCCATATTCAACCTTTAATGAATCACTTTTGAGCTGCTTTGTCTGGATAAAACTCTCATGCTCCTGTTTCAGCCCAAACAATTTCCACCATGTTGTGGCGTTGCAAATGCTAATGCTAATGGTTAGCTTCCACTAGCCAAGATGCGCTCTGTTCTCCCTGGTGGACGAGACCATGAACACTAATTTACTCAGTTATGTAGAAGAGACAGGCTATTTCTGACCTAGTAGTTTCCCCATGTCTTTCCTTTCTGTGGCTAATGCCGGCGATGGGGGTTAAAGAAAAATGTTTACATTAAGAGAGATTACTTCATAATAGGAGTGAATGAGGCGACTGACCAAAGCTTTCTCACCAGGTCACCTTGTACCATTCAGAAGTCTGATTTCTGCCATGAGTCTTAGTTCATGAACCCACATCCTTTCTTCATTCAAACACCTCCCACTGGCTACACTAAATCACTAAATCCCAAGCACTGCTTTGCCTTTGCTGAACCCCCTCTCCCTTGTGCCTTGTTCTGTCCCTGTAATGGTAAAAAGCAGACCCCGCACACCAAGTCGCATAAAAATCCCCTGGTGTGACTCACTTCTCGGTCCACTAAGCACCAATGCTGAAAAATGAAAGTCAACACCTGCTGCTGTAGGACTACAAAAGGAGCTGCGACTGTGGGGTGACAAGATGGAGATGCAGTAGTCTTAATATCCTTTTCACACTGTCCAACAGTCAGTTAGTGGTGAGATAATTACGAACACCAGACTTAAACTGTTCTACAATAGTTAAAAAACAATAAATTAGTATTACAGACTAGCTATGCGAGCTCTACGTAAACAGTACAAAAACATGTTTTTGTATCTGCATTAAAATGAGTAGACTCTTAAAAAGAAGTCTTGGCTCAACAAGTTCATAAATTAAAGAAAACTGAAGGCGAAGCCTCCCATTCTGTGGTGAGTGTCACTCCCACTGGGATCAGCGTCAGCAAAGAAGCACAAACGCCTAACAGAAGACAGATGGGCTCAAAGAGGCATGCTAACATCATACTGAGACTATCTCGATCGTACCGAGATCAGTGCTTCTGTCCCTGTGCTAACACCACATGGGGACTTCTCATAATGACATCAGCGAGAGCAACATAGAGTAAAACACAGCAAGAAACCTGCTAATTACTTTTCCCACTGTTGCAACGCCGTTACCGTTACTGGGGGACG